TAGCATGAGCGTGAAGTGAAAACACACACTCCAGCGTGCCCGTACGGGGCTGGTGCTGTTTGATGCTCTTAGGGCCGCGTGCTTGGCAGCGTGCTGTGCCGGGGCCGGAGCGGAGCACCAGGACGGAAAATCCAGCGTTCCTGCAGAGCTGTGCGAGGCAGCTTGCCAGAAGGTGGGCACCTGAGCTTTGCAGGCCTGCCCTGCGCTATTGCTCACCAAGCATTTGCGAAAGATGTTGCTGTGGATCCGGCGTTAAGCAAATATATCTGCAAAACTTGGAACATCTCCCTGAAAATGTAATCATCCTGTCTGGCCTGCGTAATGAGTTAGTGCCACAACATTGGTTTTTGGTCTGTGTGTGCTCAGATCTCACGGCCTTTACCCTTGTTAGCCAAGTGCTGGCAGCTTCAAATGGGTTGAAGGACAGTTTCCCTGGTTTGCCAGCTCGGATTCGTAACAACTGAAGGACGTGCCACGGAACTGGTTTATCTAAATAAATGGTTCTCATAGACAAATACGGTGGGACTCAAATTCTTGTGGCGTTACCGAACCCGGCATCGCCTCCTCTCCAGTGTGGAAGGAGTTTACGGAAAGCTATGGTCTAGGTGTGCGTGGAAACTGGGACAGACCTTCCGTGTGGGACTCGAGAGCTGTGCCTGGGGCGGCGGAGGCAGCTTGCAGGGATGTGATGCTGTTGGTAGGCACCAAGCTGTGCCAAAACGCCCTGTCCAAACCATGGCCTTCCAAACTGCTGGCGGCTGCTGCGTGAGCATTCTCATTAGAGAGTAACTTGACTGTATTTGGTACCAAATTTGAGTCCTGATTTATGATGTCAGTGCTGTAAGCTGGTTGCTTGTAAAAGACTAAACACATTTAGTCTGCAGGCTGTACTTTGTTACTGTACCAATTTGAGGAGCTATTGAAAAAAAATCAGGTCAATTTGCAGTAATTTAGAAGTTTACTTCTTACCAGAGTAGGGATGGCAATCGTGGGTATTTGGTGTTTAAGGTGTACGTGAACATTTATTTAAATACTTGCCATAGTTTGCTTTTGCAAGTTTAAAACCAGGTTTGGAAGAGGTTTCAGTTTGCTGTGTCTAAAACAAGGGCTGTGCTTTGAGTTCCTTTGCTTATTAGATGTTTCTATTTTAAGGTAGCACTACGTTTCTTAAAAGGGTGCCGTTGGGATGCAGAACAGACCAAAGACAATCTGCTTTTCAGTTAATAGAGAAAAATGGCTTTTCCAACATGATTTGTTTTCCACTAACTACAAATTAAGGCCTTAAGATAACAGAAGAAACAAATACTGGACTTTTTCACTGCTTTGTTCCCTATGGCGCTCTCAGTGCACTGAATTTAAATTATAAGAATGAGGTTTTCGTTTGACCTGTAGTTGTGCTTTGCAATCATGTTTTGGTGATCATTTTAACACATCGAGAGCTGAATAGTTTTTTTCTTTTCAATAATTTCTCCTGTGCTATTTTTCACGTGCGTACACCATGCTCTGTTGCAACTCTGTGATGTCTGCCCTTCCCGTCTCTTCGTTTGTATTTCTCATTCGCATTCTGTAGGTTCAGTTTTCCTGAGAATAACTTTCATACATGTATAATTACAAGTGTGGGGGGGTTTATTTTAATATCATTATCAATTACACTGGTGAACTGGTTGGCCTCCTAGTGCTGGGTATTGCAAAGGGAAAATATTTAATGCAAAGTGAATATGAATTGTACAAGTGTTTTCATGGAGTTGTCAGATATTTCAGGTTCTACATTCAGGCTGTTGGAAAGTTTCATTGTTCATTTATGAGGTTAAAGATACTTGGTTGTTATTTATATGTTTGGTTTTTAAGAGCAGTCAAGTAAAATTCCTTTTAAAAATGCAGATCAGGCTAATCGAAGCCTGCAACATACTGCTGAATCATTTTCTGTATATATTATGAAGGAACCCTGCATGTGCTTAACTTTTCCACTCAGAAGTGTTGTGCACTATGGCTCTGAAACAGGAATTGACAAGGAGCGGGCACAAAATAATGAGGAAAATATACATTTTAAATTGTTTGTTATGTTAATAGATAATGGTGCCGTGGGGATATACTGCTTTTCTCTGAAGATAGAAATTATTAATGGCATGTTAACTCTCTTTTCTGAATCTGCAAATGAAGAATGCAGCACTAGAACTGCTGTTCTTCCCTCATACTGCTGGCAGAGTTAGCTTTGCATCGCATTTCATAATACTCATGTAAATGTCTTTGGAATAGCTCTGAAGCTCCAGTTTACAGTACACAAACAGTGTGCTTAATAAGAGCAATCCTCACATTCTCGAGAGATTTTTTTGATTCTTCTAGCAGAGCACTAGTGGTTAGCTGTGTTTTCTTTTTCGGCTTTGATGGGGTTTTCCCTCCCCATGGGTGAGGCAGCTTCCCTGTCTAGATTGAGCAGAGCTGTCATCCCAGCCTGACCAAAAGAACAAGAACTGACAAAACAGATCACACTCAGTCTTTTGCCCTTCCAAAGCTACTGTTTACTACAACGGAATGAGGGATGAAAATACGTCAGGACTGTCCCTTAAAGTTTTGTGGAAAGGCTCCTTGTAGACTGGAACTCCATTCTTTAATTAATGAGTATTTCAGGTCCCTGTATTTTGTTGATTGTCCTCACTGAAATCCAGTTGCTGTGGAGTAGATTTAAATAAAAAGGTGGCTTTGTTGCATAAATTAGTAATTTTTCTAGCCCTTACTTTTAAGAAATCATTAACTGGCAGGGAAATACTGTTTCTTCGTAGACCTGTTCTTTACAGGATCTTTGCTATTGATTTAGGTCCCAGCAAACTCACAGCATCTGGGCTGGCTCTAAAAACCTGCTTGTCCTGCCACGTTCCTTCATACATCACCTGTGGTTGCGTGTACGTGTTTCACATGCGTAAACGATAGCGGTCAGGCTGTTAACCTCGTTTTTCGGTCGGTAATACCACCGGTTTCCGCAGATGCAGCGTCACAAGCAGATGAATACCAACGTTTTCAGCCGTGAACATGGTGTCACAGATTCCCTCCATGTCTGTGTGTAGCTCTGTCTCTCGGTTAGCACTACGTCTATATTGCTTAGCCACTGCTTGTTAAATACACACAACTTTTTTCTTCTTTTGCTGAGTAAGACTCTTTCAGCTTTAATTCCCAATTAGCTTTGCTCTAGCTAATAGTATCATTAGTGCCTAAAGTAGTGCTGTATCTCTGAGGGCTGAAATCATCACCAAGTGAGCAAGTGCAACTCAAGCTGCCTGCATTTCGAGAGCTCTTAGTGGAAATGTGCTATGGTTTCTTCCAGCTGGGCATTTTCAGTCGAAGCACTTCCTCGTCCGAACTGCGTGCTACCGCAGGCTGCGTGGAGATCAGCATCACGCCTCAGAAACTGCCTTTTGGGGTGGACTAGGCTGCATTTAGTGCCCCGTAACGCCCTCAGCGGGCCACGCTGGAGTTTCAATAGCAAAATATTCAGGAAATGCTCTCACCTCGTCCCATTTTGCCTTGTTAGGGATTTAGACCCCAGGCTGAACCCCGCGGCTTCAGCCTCGCCTCCGTGGCCAGGCTTAGCTCTGCTCCACCCGGCGCAGAAGGACTCGGCTCGCAGCGGTGTCAGGGGGGCAGCCGCGGTGGATCGCTTGGGCCCAGGGGTGCAGCAGAAAGGACCAACAGGTCCTGCTCGCGCCCCCGTCAGGCTCCTGACTTCAAGCCCTGTCTTGCCCGTCTCCCTGAAAAGCAAAGAAAGGGGAGGGCAGGCGTCGCTCCGCCAGCCTACAAGTGAAGCAGCCTGGGCTCCTGATGTTTTGGGGAAAATGGCAACAAGTGTCTGTATAAGTAAAAATTGCTTTGCATCTCAGCGTTGCATACCAGCTCACAAGTTTGACTGTTAATCTTTGTATTTATTTCTTTTGGATATACATAGTTCAAGTCAGTATTTGTCTGAGGTCTTTCATGCTGTATACTCTCAGAAGTAAAGGGGCCATTGTTAAATTACCGCTTTTTGCTGAAAGATAAAGGATCGTTTTCTTAATTTCCCATGATTGCAAGCAGATGCGTTCTCTTCTCAATGAAACCCCACCGAGCAATGGAAAGGACGGTTATTCAAGAGATACCTAACCCCTTTGCGTACATTTTTCTGCTTGAAATTTGATCAAATGGTAGAGGAAGGATTTTGAGGGTGTTTCTACAGCTCGTTATGAATTCTGTGCAATGCAAAGTCTCAACTGTATTTTTGTCTCAGACGTACATGTCTGATATAAAATTCCCTTTTGGCGAGGAAAAGAGATTTTAGGATTCCACAAATTTGGGTTTTGCTTATGGCTATGTCCCAGTTGAAGCGCTAGATTTCCCTTGGAGATCTTTCACCACCGAGGAACACGGTTCTTTCGGCAGGGTAGGGTGCACATCAGCTTTCTGTTGAAACGGGTTAATTCGCCGGAGATGCTACGAAATGTGTTGTTCAGCCTGGCAGTACTCATCCAAAGAGACGTAAAAGGGAAGATCGAGACCCCTGCCTTTGGAAGCATGGAAGTGTAGAAGCTGGTGCAGTGAGATTTGGTTAAGCAGTTAAGGTTTTATTTTTATAAAGAAAGCAGCAACGTGAATATTTCGAAATCATACAACAACCTGTAATCTGTTTTGGTAATCTCTCGTTCACACAATGGATTTCGTCTTTCCTTTGGGGTGTGAGGGCAGTAAATCAACTCATTGTTTTCAAACAGTCTTACACTTTGTTTTCATTCCTTGTTCAGAAGAATGGGAGAAACAAAATTAACAGGACTTTGTTCTTTGCACCTACAGCTGACGTAAATTGTGTGAACTAACTATTATTTGTTCATTTAGAAGCAAGTGCTGTACTTTTTGTCTACACCTGAAAAACAGTTGAGTCCTTTAGCCCCGTTTTTTTCTCATGTTCAATAGTGGTCTGCATTAATAAGCAGTGAGATACCTGGATTGATGGACGTTGTCTCTGTCTACCCTTCCAGGGGTCACAAGCGCAAACTGGATGAAGAGGACTCTGGCAGTGAATCCAATAAAGAATCTAGCAATGAAGATGAGGAAGGAAGCAGTTCTGAAGCAGATGAAATGGCAGCAGCGCTTGAAGCTGAACTGAACGATTTCATGTGACGCTCACGCAGAAGACAGAATTTGTAATTATGTTTTACTTCCCATAAACCCATCGGACTTCAGATGAGTCCCTTCTGTCAGTACTCAACGTTTTTCCAAAATGCGTGTGTATATTTTGCAAAGCAACACAAGAGGCGACACATTATTTTACAAAATCGGAAACAGATGTTTTTAAGGTGTTTTACTAGAGGAAAATATACTTTTTTAAACAAAAAAAGTATCAAATGGGACTTGGTGTGCTATGCCAAAGACATGTTAGGAGCTCTGCAGAACCTTCGTGTACAGGGCAGCGATACAAAGATTCGTGATTAAACATACATTGTTTAAAATATTACAGTCTGTGGTTTATGGGTAACAGTCTTCAAAAAAAAGGAGGAGATAAAGGAGAGGGAATTGTCTGGGCAGTACAGCAGAAACCTGATGAACTGGTCATCCTTTTCCACAAATAAATGCTATCAAATATAAAAGGATTTTTAAAATAAAAAAGAACGATTTATATTTGTATAGAAACAGAATGTGATATGCAAGCTTTGTGAACTCTGCACTTGACCCACCCGTCATTTGCTTCTAAGAGAATACATAACGATCAAAACTCATGTTTTTAAGTTACTTTGTGGAATAGTTGGGTTCTTTAGGGACATCGTTTAGACTTTTAACATTTCTTCTCTGTAACGGGAAATTTAGCACATCCGTGTGATCCTGTACTGCCATCAGAAGCATATTCACCCATTCGTGTTGTCTTGGAAAGAACGAGTGCTACTTCCGTCTAGATAGGATTTAATTCCTTTGACAAGAGTTCTGATGTAAAGTTTTTGTATATTCTATTTCATATTTGACCCACAAAACAGATTTTCTTTCATTTAATAAAAATTCGTTTTGTATGCTTTGTTTCCCTTTCCGGTTCGTTTGCCAGGCACCTTTCCCTATTCTCTCCCTTTCCTCTGCATGAAAATAAGGAAAACCATTGAAAGCAAGTGCAGGTTTCTAGATTCAGGCAGGGAACTGGGGCAGAGAGCAGCACTGGCTCAGAAGATCCCTTTTCTTTGGTACGTGAACTCTTGCATGCTGACGTTTTCTCAGGTCTCTGACTCGCCTCTGAAGACACCACGAGTTATTGCTCTGGAATTGAATTTCTGAGGCTAGAACCATGGTTTAATACTTAATTGTTAGCAACTGGAGAGACAAGTCTTTTTAAAATGTGTTTGCTAAAGAAGACTCATTAATTCAGGTGTCATGGTTAAAAGGGAAATACTTTCTGGTGCAGAAATACTTATTTTGCCGCTTAGCAGTAAAACAGAACAGTTCAATAGAATCTCAGCCAGTTTACGAGTAACAGCCTGGTTTTCAAAGCTTCGAACGGCGATAAAAGGAAGACGGAAAATAGGAGAATCTTTCAGATTAATACTGCTTTTCCACTTCAGAGTGCAAGGTCAGCATCCACAAGAGAAAAATAGTGTTTTCTGTCAGAGAATGTTAAACTTCCTGGACATTTACACAGATAGCACATAGCTGCGGTCTGCGGTGACCTGCCTGCTGTAGCTGCCCCTGAAAACAAGCAGGATGTCTCCGAGGGAGTTGCATTGAAAACAGAAGGCGACGATGACTAATGCTTGTAAATTGGTAAGTCAAAATACTTTTTTTCCCAGCAACTTCAATGCAGCCTCCCCAGCCTAGCGGAGGATGACTCCTTGCAATTAAATACTAAAATGTCAGGGGTTGTGGGGTACATTTTGTGTTTTCTGAAATGAACCCCAGTTGAAATAATTTGAAATAATACCAACTTTTCCGGTCACTGTGATGCTGCCAATGGCTTGACAGCACAAACTCCAGCAGAGACCTGTTCTGGCTGCTGATCTCTGCCGGTCAGGCAGCTCTGTGGCAGCGTTCAGGCTCAAGGTAAGCACAGTCAGTGAGCGAAACCGGGTAGGCTGCGGTTAGCTCAGCAGTTGGTTCAAGCTGCTCCTCGGATCCCTCGTCCCCGGCGCGGCAGCTGTCTCGTACTGCTCGTGGAGTCACCCCGTACGCGTAAAGGTTGAGAAGGGTTTTGGTGCGAAAGGCTCTGTCCTCTTCCCACTTTTATAGCTGATGGTTTAACAGGTTAACTAGTGTCTGGGCAGGAGTTCTAAAAGCAGTCAGCGCTCTGCTGCGCCCCATGCCCTCTGGAGCCCTGCGTACACACCAAGCGAGGGCTCTCCACCAGGCAGAGCCGTGTCCCTGCAGGGGACAGTGAAGACTCCTCTGCCTCTGGGGGAGCTGCGGAAATCTGCCGCTGGGGCTGCACACGGAGGCCCTGGGAGCAGGCAGCGTGCTGCCGGAATTATCACAGGATCATAGGATCACAGAACGGTTTGGGCTGGAAGGGACCTCAAAGACCACCCAGTCCCACCCCCTGCCCTGGGCAGGGACACCTCCCACCAGACCAGGTCGGTCGCA